CTTCTGATTTCCTTGAAAATGAAAGTGACGTGATTAATTGCTGCATGTATTCTCCCGATTCAAGTTTCTCTTCTGATAAAATTGTAGTTAAGGTCAGTAGATTCCTGTCTGCTTGTGTTACACATAATGCCCTGAGTCTTGGTCAAATGCTTTTTCCCTTGTCCCCCGTACTGGTTCAACTTCTGTTGTTGTTCCACAACCATCCAAAAGTTCTGGTACGTAATGTCTGTTAGTGCTGTTGCTGCACCATTTTCTGGAAGGACAAAGATTATTACTTTTCAACCCAGGTACTCTCTTGAGACCATTATGTGTGACCTTACTTTTGTTATTCTAAGACAGGAGCGTAATAGCATGCCAGCAATTAGTATACAATCTTGATCCTTTCTCATTAGTAATTGTGCATAAATCACCGTAATTCTGCAGATATGTGATCAGTAATGCCTGCAACAAGGACCTGTGCTACAGGCAAAAGGGAACTGATGTTGTTTTTCTATTGGAGGCTGGACAACATTCCCATATTCGATGGACAGATACAACAAGGTGTAATACCTTATACTTTATACCTTGTCCTTTTTCAAATATTATCAGTTTTCATTTCATTCTGTCAATTTTTTATAAAAATTAAAAAAAGTATATTGATTGCCTGAAGAAAGTTGTTAGAGGAATATGTGTTAGTGAGAGGATCTCTCTTAGCCTTAGGTTTCGGTGTTTGAAATCTACGGCTAGGATTAGCTCGTCTTGTATAAATAGCTCTGCACTCCCTTGTACATATACACAGAACATGTAGAAATATACAAGTTGAGTTCATTGTTTAACATGGTATTAGAGCGAGACTGAGGTGAGTGGTTAGTGGGCTTTGGTCGGAAAGAAGAGGCGACGCCGTCGGAAAAAGCGGAGCAGCCACCGGAGTTCTCATGCGCCGCCACGTGCCGGCGCAGTCCTAGGATTCCGACGCCACGCGCCGGCGCGTGCACACTATTCTGGCATCTTCTCCGGTCGAGGCTGGTACCGGCCGGCTCGTCTCTATGAGCCCAAGAGGTCTGGGGTGGTGGTGGAGGCACGTGAGGTCATTTCCGGTGACTTTTCCAGCAAAACGTGTTGGCGATCCCATTTCGTCAAGCAACACAGGCAGCAGAGTTGCCAGAGAGAAGCTTCCAAGCTCACCGGATCTGTTGTGCACGCCAGGGAAGAAACAGAGGTCGCTGGAGGGAGCTGCGCGTCGGAGGAATTGCTGCTGGTCGAGAGAGATGGAGGGGAACCAGCGAGAGAGAGACGATCGAGAGAGAGATGGTAGGTAGGTCCACGAAGCTGGGTGGTCTCATGGCTACAAATAAAAAATGGCGTGGAGGTCTAGTTGATGAATGCTTCTGGAAATTAATTGGAAGCATAATGTGTGGTTAGGTTTGTGCTGCTGACGAGGAATAATTAGGCAGTAGGTTCTTTTGTTTATCGTATTAATAAGTCTTGAGCTTGTGTTTGGTTGTCATAGTTTGTCGCTCGTTTTAAGTTAATTTGGTATGGGAGCAATTTTAGGGTCTGAGTTGAGTCAAGTTCAGCATGTTTAGTGTGCGTAAACAGGGGTGCTGCAGGAGTGGGCAGCACAGGTGCCAGGAGTGGGCGGACCTAGCATATGCCGCGGGGGAGGCCGACGGCTAGAGAATGATTCAGAGTGAATCGGTTTACGTGCATGCACCAGGGAAACGCTGTGGTGTGAGGCAACGTTGATAAGGGTGCATGGTGAGAGGGACAGGTGCATGTGGTCTAGCAGCGCTAATGGTTTGTAGAGTGAGAGCAAGTACGCTGTGGTGTTAGGCAGCGGTGATAAGGGTGGGGGTGTGAGAGGCAGGTGCGGCGCTGTGGTGATTGGCTAGCTTTTGTTGGCTCTGTAGAAGCGTTGTTGGTGCGACAAGGTCCGTTGTGGACTGGTTTGGCACAGCGTGGTTCGAAGGTTGTTCGAGTGGTTCAAGACTTGGGTGTTAGCCTTGGAAGTTATGAGTCTAGGTGTGGAGTCCCATGGTTCATGTGATACATATGTAACAAGTTGGATGCTCTAACTTGAGGGGGAGTGTTAGGGGTTTGTGGAGTGAGAGGCAAGTACGCTATGGTGTTAGGCAGCGGTGATAAGGGTGTGGGGTGTGAGAGGCAGGTGCGGCGTTGGTGGTGATTGGGCTAGCTTTTGTTGGCTCTGTAGAAGTGTTGTTGGTGCGACAAGGTCCGTTGTGGACTGGTTTGGCACAACGTGGTTCGAAGGTTGTTCGATGTGTTCAAGACTTGGGTGTTAGCCTTGGAAGTTTTGAGTCTAGTGTGGAGTCCTATGGTTCATGTGATACATATGTAACAAGTTGGATGCTCTAACTTGAGGGGGAGTGTTAGAGGAATAGGGTGTTAGTTGAGAGGATCTCTCTTAGCCTTAGGTTTAGGTGTTTGAAATCTACGGCTAGGATTAGCTCTTGTCTTGTATAATAAATAGCTCTACACTCCCTTGTACATATACACAGAACATATAGAAATATACAAGTTGAGTTCATTGTCTAACAAAAGTGAGTAATAAATGGAAATAAAGACAAAATGTCCTCTAATGTGAACGGAAACTGAGAAATAAGAAATGAACAATTCAAAGCACAAACAACTTGCAATTCTCGCTGAAAATAAGATTAAATGTTTTCCACAAAAAGCACCTTTACTTCCCTCCTAATGAGGACATCATAATACTCTATGTTGAAACCCTAGGTCCTTTTAGAAATAGGCCATTAGGTTAATAGCATATTCCTATTTAAATAGTAGATGTTTGTACAGTTCTTTTGGGTTGAATGCAATGAATCTTTCTACTATTCAACATGGTATCAGAGCCTAAACCTTAAATAATAATTCCGCTTTCTTTCCCGCTGCCGCCACCGGAGTTCACGCCGCCGCTACTGTTTTTTTTGCTTTTGGACATCTGCTTGGTGGTTCTTCTCCCAAACCAAGACCACAGGCCTCACCGGAGCCTCGTCGCGAGCCAAAGCCCGAAGTCCGGTCGCCGTCTGCCGCCGCACGCGCCGCCGCCGTCACCGAGACCTGCCACTGTTTTCCGGCCAGATCTGCCTGTACCGACCTCCGATCGTGACAACGTTACCACCGTTGGATTCGTCTCGAGAAAATGCTTCAGACTGTGTTTTCCGTTTTCTCATCTCTGCCGGTCAACTCGCCGGTCAACGGTCAACTCACCGGTCAACGGTCAACTTTCCGGTCAACCATCCTTTGAGGCAGTTTTTCCCTTTCCTTTTGAATAATATTATGGCTTCATCTCTCGCCGTTGGTACCTCTTCTTTGTTGTGTCTTTCTCAAGCTAGTAACACAAATACTTGGATTCTAGACACAGGTGCCTCAGACCATATTTCTGGTAACTAATGTCACAAAGTCTAAGGCTTTGCCCATGGTTACCTTAGCTAATGGCAATCAAACACCAGCTGCCGGTGTTGGTCAGGCTCATCCTATGCCATCTTTCCCTTTAAAATCAGTTTATCCTATCCCTTTATATGTTCCTAATAGTCCTTTCAACCTTATCTCTGTGAGTAAAATCACCCGTACCCTTAATTGTTCTGTAACCTTTTGTGCGGATTCGGTTGTTGTGCAGGACCGTAGTACGGGAAGGTGATTGGCACTGGGATTGAGTCACAAGGCCTCTATTACCTCCGTGGTGGTGATCTTGCTGCCTATGCTTCTACAGATTCTCACTTGCTTCTCCATAGTCGTTTGGGCCACCCTAGTCTCTCCAAACTTCGACGGATGGTTCCAGGTTTATCTATAGAGTCATTAGATTGTGAGTCGTGTCACCTTGGAAAGCAATCACGTAAATCCTTTCCACGGAGAGTCAATAATCGGGCTGCGTCTCTTTTTGATTTAGTCCATACTGATGTTTGGGGTCCATGTCGTGTCAATTCTGCTTTGGGGTTTCGTTACTTTGTCACTTTTACAGATGATTATTCTAGGTGTACTTGGTTGTTCCTTATGAAAGATCGTTCTGAGTTATTCCAGATTTTTCAAAATTTTTGTGTTGAAATACAAACTCAATTTGGTAAACCCATTCGTGTTCTGCGTAGTGACAATGCTAAAGAATATCTCTCTAACCCCTTTCAATCCTATATGACTTCTCGGGTATGTTACACCAACGGTCGTGTGTTTACACACCTCAGCAGAATGGGGTGGCTGAGCGTAAGAATCGACATTTAGTTGAAATTGCTCACACTATGTTAGTTCATTCTCATGTTCCTCATCATTTTTGGGCTGATGCTATTCTTACTGCGTGTTACTTGATAAATCGCATGCCATCCTCAGTCCTAAACAATGAAACGCCATATTCCATTGTGTATCCTTCTGTTGATTTTTTCCTTCTTCCACCTCGGGTTTTTGAGTGTGTTTGTTTTGTTCATGACATGACTCCTGGGCATTCGAAATTGGCCCCTAAAGCTGTCAAGTGTGTTTTCTTAGGTTATTCCTGGCCACCAAAAGGGTTATCGGTGTTATTCTCCAGAACTTAATCGTCGTTTGTGTCTGCTGATGTCACATTTATTGAGTCTACTTCTTTTTTCCAGCCCACACCAGGTAACGCAGTCTCTATTTCAGAGGTTCTCCCTCTTCCTTATCTTGGTTCACTTCCTCTTGTTCAAGATCATAATCCTCCAATTGCTCCTGACCGCCCCCTTCAAGTCTACCATCGCCGTCCTCGCCCTGTGTCTGTTGAGGCTCCTGTTGACTCACCCATGCCACCCGATCCTCCTCCGGCTGCGGTTCCACCACTTCAATTGCAATCTGACGCTGATCCCACTGAGGCACCCATTGCTATCCGGAAAGGTACACGTTCTACTCGTAACCCTCATCCTATATATACCTTTTTGAGTTATCATCGTGTATCTTCTCCTTACTTTGCCTTCCTTTCTCACCTTTCTTCTGTGTCTATACCTAAATCCACTCGTGAGGCCCTCTCGGATCCCGATTGGCGCCAAGCCATGTTCACTGAGATGGAGGCCCTGGAGTCTAGTGGCACATGGGAGTTGGTTCCCCTCCCTCCTGGTAAAACCGTTGTTGGTTGTAGGTGGATTTATACTGTGAAGGTGGGCCCTGATGGCAAGATTGATCGCCTTAAGGCACGACTGGTGGCAAAAGGCTACACTCAAATTTTTGGTCTGGATTACACTGATACTTTTTCTCCTGTAGCTAAAATTGCATCAGTTCGATTACTTTTATCTTTGGCAGCAATCAATCATTGGGATTTACACCAATTGGATATCAAGAATGCTTTTCTACATGGCGATCTTCAAGAGGAGGTTTATATGGAGCAACCACCTGGGTTTGTTGCTCAGGGGGAGCCTGGTCTGGTATGTAAACTTCGTCGTTCCTTGTATGGTTTGAAGCAATCTCCACGGGCTTGGTTTGGAAGATTTAGCTCTGTGGTATGTGAGTTTGGTATGACTAGAAGTGAAGTTGATCATTCTGTTTTCTATCGTCATTCTAATGGGAAATGCATATACCTTGTAGTATATGTGGATGACATTGTTATTACAGGGAGTGATCGGGAGGGCATATCTCAGTTGAAAGAGTATCTCTTCAGTCGATTTCAGACTAAGGATTTGGGTAAGCTGAAATACTTTCTTGGAATTGAAGTAGCCCAGTCTAGTAGTGGTATTGTCATTTCTCAAAGAAAGTATGCACTGGATATTTTAGAAGAAACTGGCATGTTGGATTATAGACCGGTAGATAATCCAATGGGTCCGAATGTTAAACTTTTACCAAGACAAGGGGAGCCATTACTTGACCGAGAACGATATAGGAGATTAATTGGAAAATTGAATTACCTCACAATCACACGACCAGATATCTCTTTTGCAATTAGTGTGTTGAGTCAGTTTCTTGAGAATCCTTGTGATACTCATTGGGATGGTGCTTTTCGGGTTCTAAGGTATATCAAGAGAGCACCAGGACAAGGTTTACTATATGAAGATAGAGGACATGCTCAGGTTGTTGGGTATTCTGATGCAAATTGGGCTGGTTGTCCGTTTGACCGGCGCTCTACTTCGGGTTATTGTGTACTCATTGGTGGTAATCTCATATCTTGGAAAAGTAAGAAGCAAGATGTTGTTGCCAGGTCCAATGCTGAAGCTGAATACCGAGCCATGGCCCTTGCCACGTGTGAGCTTATGTGGCTGAAGCACTTACTACAAGAGTTGCAATGTGGCAAGGTTGCTCAAATGACATTGATATGTGACAACCAAGCAGCTCTACATATTGCCTCAAATCCAGTTTATCACGAGAGAACCAAACATATTGAGGTTGATTGTCACTTCATTAGAGAGAAGATTGTGTCAGGGTGTATCAAAACAAGCTTTGTCAACTCTGCAGATCAATTGGCTGATATTTTGACAAAACCCCTTAGAGCTCCAAGGGTTGAGTATATTTGTAACAAGCTTGGAGCATATGATTTATACTCTCCAGCTTGAGGGGGAGTGTTGAAACCCTAGGTCCTTTTAGAAATAGGCCCATTAGGTTAATAGCATATTCCTATTTAAATAGTAGATGTTTGTACAGTTCTTTTGAGTTGAATACAATGAATCTTTCTACTATTCAACACTCTAGAAAGAGTTCTCAGAAAATGGATGTCCTGAAAGTAGAGGTGCTTCTCAGCCTATTGGCCATCATTATGGCTATACTTGCCCACAATCTGCACCCTATACTTCTAAGAATTTTGTTTCAATGTTTTGCAGAGAATTACTAGTTTCTTTTCGTTTTGTTGAACCTGGATGGCAATGGTCAGGATGCTTCTTGCCTGAACATTTAGGTGATACTCAGGTGAAAATGAGAAACTTTGTTTCTGGTGCTGTTAATATGATTCGCGTAGAAGTGCAAAGTGCTGATTTCTCCATTAGAGATGAAAAGATTGTTGGAAGCCCACGTGGAAACTCTGGGACAAACCTGATTCTTTTGTCAGATGATGACACAGGCTCTATGCCATACAGGATTGATAATTTCTCAAAGGAGGTTAGTGCGTTATGCCAGTATTTGCACAGTAAGCTTTATGCCTCAGGTTTGTGTTGCAAAGGTATTCATGCAAATCAACTCTGACAGCTGCTCAATCAACCTTTTTCTAATATGTATTCAATTTTCTTTATTCTTATAATCTATTTAGTTCTTTGTGTATACATAAAATGGTTGAGATGATGTGCTTTGCTCTTACAACTTTGCTGTTGCTTTCCCAAAATATTAAGGCAATTTATGCTCCAATTCTAGAGAGCAATCACAGTATATGCTGCTGGTTCATGAAATAATGCAGTTCAACATAGTAACTTGCATTTAAATTTTTGAAGTTTTTCTTTACTCTTGAATTAAGATATCCATCGTCAAATATCAGATATACTTATTATCTGACATGATGTCTTTGACGAGATGCAGAGACTACGCGTTTACCAACAAAGGTGTGAGGCTTTTGAAACGATGATTTACTCCTACAGTTCTTGCCCTTATGCATGGGATGAACCTTGTTACCCGCATCGTTTAACTGTTGAGGTATGATCTGCTACATTTGACAGATGAATGACATCTGGTGGACATACATGAGTAATTTTTCTTGAAATCTGTAAGGTTCCTGGTGAACGTGTCGTAGGATCATATACTCTTGATGACGTAAAGGACTACACACCTGTTTGTTTATCAGCTACTTCTGAGGTACCTTCCGATGTCTGTTATTAATGCTCTTTTACTACTGTCTTTTGCTTTTATAACTGTAATCCTTTTATTCTGGGATTCAAAGTGATAATAATAACATCACCATCAACAATAATAATTTGTATATTTTTTCATTGCTTGCTGAGCTTGTTTCATTTGTTAAGCTTGTAATATCTGCTTACTCTTTACAGAAACCTGAAAGAACTCTGCTTGTTTCTGTCTGTTCTGAAGGAGCAACTAAGGTGCTTATTTTATGATTATGGGGGTGTAAATACTTTTGTTTATTTATTCCCTGTAAAATAATGTTTCTTTCTTTTTCCCTCGTGATAAGGTTCTTCGCATTATTGATTCAAGCTGCCATGATTTAAACGATTCAAAGGGCCCATGTCTCCCACAGTTTAAAGATAAAGGAAATCATGCCAGGAAGCTTGAATCTGTTGCTCACTTCAAGGAGAGAATTGTGGTTGACATTCCCTTTGTTGGAATATCTTTAATAAATTCTATACCAGAGGTACCTAAAATTTTATATAGAGGATATTACAACCTTGTTTTAGGTGCCAAAAGTAACCCTTGGTATCTTGTGGGTTTTATTTTGTAGGAATTGCTTTTTGCTTGTGCAAGGAACATTACCATGAATTTTGGGCAGAGTCTAGATCAACAAAAGTTCTCCTTGCAAATTATGTCTTTGCAAATCGATAACCAGTTGCCTGGTACTCCTTACCCTGTCATCCTATCTTTTGACCATAATATTGGCATTACCAGTAGAGATACAAGAGATGCAGCTATTGGGACCCAGGAACCTGCATTCTCTGTAGTTGTAGCAAAGTGGAGGAACAAATATCTTTCACTGGTTTCATTTGAATATATAGGCTTAAGGTTTGTTTTCTGCACCAGCGGCTGTGAAAATTTTTGCTAGTTTTGTCATTCCTTGACATGTTACATGCTTTGTACTTGCAGAGTGGCTGAACTTCATCTAGAACTTGATCAAGAAGTGATATTGAGCTTGTTTGACTTTATCAAGTCAGTATCTTCAAGGTTGCAGAGCAGAGTGTTGCAGCATATGAGTCCAACCCTACATCCAATATTTTCTGATTTGGAATCGGATTTGTCTATCCATTCCTGCTCTCTAGACTTTGAACCTCTGAATTCAAATTCTAAGCAGCACCCTGTATCAAACATTACTTTATTTCATGAAAGCAGCAAGAACTCTTTGCTGCCTCCAATAATCCCTATTGGTGCACCATGGCAGCAGATTCACCTTCTGGCCAGAAAGCAGAAGAAAATATATGTTGAATTTCTTGATATGTCCTCAATCAAACTGACTTTAAGGTAAGTCATTCTTCCCACTAGTCATGCTTGTAGTGTACTGTGTACAAAACTTGATTCTATGCAGCATGAATTTTTCATGCAGCTTTTCTAGCAGTCCTTGGATGCTTCGAAATGGGGTCCTTACATCTGGTGAATCTCTTGTTCATGTAAGTGGTGATTGGTGAAGGTGCCATGCATATCCGAGACTCAGAAGTTCATACAGTATAAACATTTTTCAATGATTTTAGCATATGAAGTGCCAAAGGGCAGTGCATTTTTGCTATTGTTGCAATTAGAATTATATTTATATAACTTTTTTCAATTCAAGCCCTGTGACACTAAGAATTACAGAGTGGTCTAATGGCACTTGCTGATGTGGAGGGAGCACAAATTCATCTCAAACATTTGATTCTATCACATCAACTAGCTAGCTGGGAATCCATCCAAGAGATCCTCATTGGGCATTACAGTAGACAATTTCTTCATGAAATGTATAAGGTTAGTGGTTCTCATCACAAGGAGCTCAGTGTTCAAATATTTAAATGCTAGAACCCTGTAAAAATACCTCATATCAAACCATCAGCTAAAGGTACTTTATTGGTTAGTTGTATTCTCCATTGCATTTTATGTTTGGAATGCCTATATGCATATATAATGAGTTGAAGGTAAATGTACATATTTGTTATTTACACCCATTACAGGAGGATATTAGGATGGTAATTATTTTCCACTTGGTTCTACAATGATGATGTGCTTCATTTTGTCGATGCCAGGCTATTTACCTAGTGACACCATACAAAAGAAAGATGAGAATATGATGTCTTATACTTTCAACCCTAGAACCCATTGAAGGCTCCAGAGTCCATAGGATCCTTAATCATGAAGACTAGTTGAAAGATCCAATTGAAATACTGTGCTTTACTCTCTAGTGTCCTTGGAACCCTTGACCATTGATTAGTAGGTTTCTGCTGCACATTCAACCAAAGGAAACAAAACAGCATTGTATTGAGAATGGACTATTATAATGTGAATAACAATAAAATACAAGAAACAAAAACCAAGGTGCCACTTAAAGTGTTCTGTCTCCTGATTTGCTATTCTGGCAATTTATGTACAAATTTTTCATTGTGCACATTTTCTTTGTTGACCAAGTATGAAGTTACTTCTTTGACATGTTCTAATTGATAACAATCCAGAATTTCCAACGTGATCTGCACTTCTCCAAAAGCTTCCTGTTTTGCTACAATTATTTCTATAGACCCTCTTCTAATTTTGCAACCAAAAAGGTTTGAATTTAGTAGCAACCAGGACTTGTTGTTGATTGCATTACAGGTGCTTGGTTCAGCTGGAGTGATAGGTAATCCAATGGGGTTCGCAAGGAGTGTAACTCTTGGCATCAAAGATTTCTTATCAGCTCCTTTGCAAAGTGTTTTCCAGGTACTATACGTATATGATTTGTTCACTAATCAAATTTTCTCTTCTAATACTAGGCTCAAAATTGCTTCTGCAGAGTCGTGCAGGACTTATTAAAGGCATGGCACAAGGCACCTCCAGTCTCTTGAGCAACACTGTCTATGCAATAAGTGATACAGCCACTCAATTTAGCAAGGCTGCACAGAAGGTTTATGATTGCCTTTGTCTAACACTTGAGAATTGTAAATCCTGTGGTTATTTTATCTAAAATGCAATTCAACCTTAACAATGTAGGGCATTGTTGCATTTACATTTGATGACCACAGTATAGCAAATATGGATAGACCCCAGAAAGGAATATCCGCCCAGAGTAAAGGTGTAATAAATGAATTCCTGGAGGTATTTGCTTGCACTTCATAGCTACATTGATTTTAGTTTCCTCTTCTTATCCATTCTTTTTATTTGTTTGATTTGTCTACTTTTCATGGCACTGACGTGCTAGAATTTCTTAGTACACCTCATCAAATAATTTAACCTGTATGGCTGTATAGTAATATAGAAAGTTCTGAGTCTTGCAAGTTTACTTTATCTCCTTGTTTTTACCTTTTTTGAAGTTTGTTGTGTTGATACTCAGGGACTAACTGGTCTACTACAATCACCTATAAAGGGGGCTGAAAAACATGGACTTCCAGGAGTAGTCTCAGGTATTACTTACTAGTTGAAGATTAATTTCTAGATTAATTTATCGCTGTGGTAATGGTGTTTGCAAGCTGCGTGAGAGGTTTAATTCATGTTTTAAGATTTTCCTTTGTTCCAGGTATAGCCCTTGGTGTGACGGGACTCGTGGCAAAACCTACTGCTAGTGTCCTTGATATCACTGGTAAAACAGCACAAAGCATTAGAAATTGGAGCAAGCGGCATCACAGTGGATGCCACCGCTTTAGGGTTCGTTTGCCAAGGCATTTAAGCAGGGAATACCCCTTGAGGCCATACTGTTGGGAGGAAGCAATTGGATCATCTGTACTCCAGGAGGTTGATGATAGTTTAAATCTCAAGGATGAGGTCCTAGTCATCTGTAATGCACTCAAAGAGGATGGGAGATTTGTAATCATCACTGAGAGACTCATCTTAGTTGTCAGTAGCAAAAGTTTGGAAAATTTGGGTAAGCCCGAGTTTCGTGGAGTTCCTGCTAACCTGGAATGGGTGATAGACATGGAGATTGGAATGGATAGCATCATCCATGCTGATAATGATGGTGAGGTGGTGCATATCATAGGAAGTAGGTCAGATATAGTAATGAAGCAGAATCAGCAGAAAAGAGGTTGGGGAACAGAAGGCAAGCGAAGCTGGAACAATAATCCTCGTGCTCCTCTTCCATTATTCCAAACTGACTTGCTCTTTACATCAAAAGAAAGGGCAACGGACTTTCTACACACACTTTTGTCTGCAATTGACCAGGCTAAAGAGCAAGGCCGGTGCCATGTGCATCTTTTGCACCAAAGTAGCCTAAGGTAGATTTTTAAACAAATTAAAAGAGTGGCTAAACTTATCATGACAATGTTGGAGAAAAACAGAGGATATGTTAATTGTTTTGTACATATGCCCCAATTGTGTAGTACGTAATCAATCAAGCTGAAATTTGACAACACTCATTGTCCTTGTCCTTTCTGTGGCTCGTATTGTGAGCTGTAATGCATTCAACTGTGGTATTGTCAGTGCCTGAGAAAGTGAAGAGAAGGTTTCTGAATCAGTGAATAGAAAGGTGAATACACAGTTCTATATGTACATCTAAAAGACCTCTAAGAAGGAAATAAGACATTATTTCCTTATGTTATTGAATTCCTTATAAATTTCCATGCTACCTAATAATATATGTACATTCCATAACACTTTCCCTCAAGTTGGTACATAGATGTTAATTATGGCCAACTTGTTACACAAATAACAAACTCAAGTTCTATTTAGGGCCTTTGTGAATAGATCCTTTAATTGTTCTCCAGTTGGTCTTTTAGGGTCCGTTTAGAAAGCAGGAAAATTACTTCTGGAAAATGACTCATTTTCGGAAAAATATTTTCTTTTCCCGTGTTTGGCTGCACAACAGAAAACTGTGTTTGGTTCATTTTTCAGAAAATGAGTAGGAAAATGAACAAAATTGTATACTTCACCATTTTGATTATTATAATGCCAATGCGAAGAGAAATTAGTTTGTCCTATAATCTTTTAACCCATTTAGAACCCAAACAACAATTTATTTATTTTTTTTTTAAAAATAAAATTTTGGTTTCCTTGTCGGAAACCAAACCAAAGCACTGGTTTGGTTTCCAGCAAGAAATCAATCGCGGAAACCAAACCAGAGCATGGTTTCCGGCAAGGAAACCAATCTGGTTTCATTCTTGGAACCCTCTGGTTTTCCAAGTCGGAAAACCAAACTGGTTTTCGACGTGGAAAACCAGATCTGTAGGTTTCCAAGTCGGAAACTGTTTTCGGTGGTCGAGAAGGAAGTGGCGCGACGAAGGTTTTCGGTGGTCGAGCAGAAAGCGGCGCGGCAAAGGTTTCCGTTGGTCAAGAAGGAAGCGGCGCAACAAAAAGTCTCCATGATTGTGCGAATGAGGAAATAACGATGTGCGAAGAAGAAGAAAAACGCGGAAAATGACTTCCCCTCAAAGAAAGGGGAAGTCATTTTCCGGAAAAGTGTATGAATTTTCCATTGAATAAACTTCATTTTCCCTGACTTTAGTATTTTCCTTCCTACCAAACACTGAAAACCCGGAAAATGATTTCCAGAAATCATTTTCCGGGTTTCTAAACACATCCTTACTCGCAGGCATAGTAATCAATTCCCAGGTACCATTGTGATCTAAAGCATTCATCTCTTCAATCATAGCATCTCGCAACCTAAGATCAAACTTGTTAAAGGCAAGCGCTTTTTGAGCTTAAGTGCAAAAGCGAGGCGAGGCGTCGCCTGAGCAAGGCACAGCTACATGATATAACATGCGCTTAATTGCACTTTCCAGCCAAAGTGACGAGGCGAGAGCGACGAAAAGTGTTGATTTTGTCTGAGAAGCGAGTCAACGGTTGATTGTAGTATATTTCTCAAACAAATAATTACACGGAGTATCGGGTTACCAATCCACAGGGAAGTGAGGCGTATCAAGCACTAGCTACTAATTTATTCTTGTGAAGCTAATCCTAACGAAAATCATGGATGGTTGATTAAATATAAAACTAATTTAAAAGAAAGGTAGTAGGTTTGCGAAAACAATAGAGAGAGAATGAGATTTCTGGGATTCAAGTATTTAATCACCTAGTGCCAACCTTATGAACATTATTAAAACTGGGTTTAAACAAGTGTGAGAATGCAAATATTGTATAGAGTTACTCACGTAATCTCTAACCCTAGTAAATATTCACTCCCGTGATATAAACACCCAACAATATAAGAACAAGCATTCATAATAAACTCCTAACTACTATCATCTCTCGATGTGCAATAATCAAGAATTAAACTCCCTAACATAATTGCCCTCTCCCAATGTGCAACAATTAAATGCAATTGTGTGTACTCTCAATTATGTCTAACTTCCGTTATGACATAAATAAAGCTATGAAACAAGTAATTCAGGCTCTGAACTACTAGCAACAACAATATAATCACAATTGCAATACAAGCATAAAACCCAAATAATAATATATTAAAGATTATGAGAACTAAGCACAAAGGTTCATAAATACTTTAACCCAAGAATCTAAGTGTTTAGCCGAGCATGGCTAAACTAGAATTCATAATAAAAATAAAGAGTTTACAAATAATCAAAGAGAGTACAAGAATAAACCAAGTAATTCTCCCAAATCTCCTTAGCTTTCTTCTTTCTTCCCAAGACAACTTGTAGCTCTCAATAGGTAAATAACAAAGGCAAAGTGTCTAATCATAGATTCAAACAAAATGAAATTGTTCAGCACAAACACAGTGAAATTGAGCAGGGTAAGTGATTAGTCTAAAAAGATAAAAAAACCACACTAATGTGGTAATAGTCTGTAGTCTCCCAGATCTTAAAGTTTTTCTTGTTAAACAGCCACAGTTTTTCCCTTCTTGCAAGAGGAGGAGAATTGGCCCAAAAGCGATCTCCTCACACCATTAGAATCTTCAAGTTCATTGTCTAGCCTTTGAGACTGTTGTATACTTAATGGACTATTGACCTCATTGTCTCCATTAGAAGCTTCATGTATATTAAAATAAAGTTTAGTCTAAAACATGTCAAACATAGGATTAAAAATGTAAAAAATGATTTTACTTTAGTAACAATAACTACCTGATCTGATTCCTCATGTTCCTCTTCGTCCTCATCTATCATTTTTGATATCAAATCCTTGTCTTGGTCTTTAATCAGTTTAGAACAGTATGCTAGGACTAAGGCTTCATCCCTTAGAACTCTCATAACAGTGTAGGCTGAATTTGCTCCCTTCATGAACTCCATTTTTAATGATATCTTAACTACCATTCTCATACCAACTAATGATTCCAATTCTTTTGGAATGTCAGAAACTTAACATACAGAAAATAGCATACTTTTAAAAAAGACAAATAAAAAAAGACTTTATATGTATGTGTTAAATTTAAAAGTAATGTAACTTTACCTTATTATACTTTGTGTACAAACTGTGTGTTGGGATACCAACTAATTCAGAACACTCCCTATCCCATAAAAGGAAGGGAACATCTCCTAGACCTTTATCTAGAACAATAACTTTGACCCGATACTTGACCATTCCTTCTTTATATTTCTTATCACAAGTTGTACAAATCAGATCACCTACTTGTTCATAAAGCTTTCTGTTACATCCTAGTGACATGCAAGAGATGTACATCCATCCAAAAGAACCTTCAATGACCACAATTTTAGCAGAAACATAGAATTCCCCATTCTACAATTTTTTTGAAATCACTTGGTTACTCTGTGTTATGTAATCTATCTTATTTAACCTATAATTAGTTTTGTGGATTGTATTCATGGTTTTTAGAACCATAGAGTCTAACCTGCTTCTTTTTCAATAGATTAACTACTTTAGTTACAGTCAAAGCACCACTCGTAGAGTCATCAATTCCTGTTGATTGAGACAGCACTGTTGCAGTACTGATACTGTGTAAATGACTGTTTGCAGCAGTTAACCTACAGGTAAAATTAATACACAGTTGTATAAATGTCTGATATAGTAGTTTAGAAAATGTAGAGTGTAGATAAAACATAAAATTCAGGCACTTACTAAGACCTAAAATCAGCAAATTCCTAGTAAGATGCATTGAAATGAAGTTGGGTAGCATCATAGCAGCTAGTGATTCTGATTTCACCTATTAGCATGATAGGTGTTAATGAACAATGGAAAACCTAGAAATACTGTAAAAGAATAATGTATGATTATAACTTACCATTGACCACCTTTGCCCGACAAAGCTGAAAAACCAAAATTAGTGGTTCTTTAAGACCTGCATCATAGTATGGTAGCATGGCACCAACATGACTGTCCCACACAGTGCACTGTAAGGTATTTCCCCTATAGGCAAGTGTGTTAGAAAAAATATAATCACTGGAAATATAGGAACAGATTTATTAGTATGAAACTTACTCATTGTCAGCCATTTTAAAGTCTAGTAGTTTGGATGGTCTACCTCCTATGATTTTTTCAACAGGAGCATGGATCTCGACCACTCTGCCTATTAAATATGTATAAATAGAAAATAAATGAATAGTAGACCAAATACTAATATAGTTGAATGAAAAATAGCAAAAATAAGAACAAAATACTTACCAAACAGCACCTTGTGATTGACTTGAGTAGGGTCTTTCAAAGAGTCATAGCTTTTTAGCTGAAACATTTTAGTAGGAAAACCTTTGGATTTGATTGCCTTTACCTGAGTTTTATAGTTTAGCCTGATCATATATTTGTGATCACAAGCTTTGTACATATAATAGTGGGTGAACACCAAAAATTTTTTGACTAAATAGAGCTTCCCTTCTCTGAAAATATTTTTGTATTTTTTTACATCATTGTTTTGCATATTCAAATGAATGAAGGTTCCCTGCACATAAGATTAGTGAAATAAATAAAACATTAGCATAAGGAAAACCTTAAACAATGAACAGAAAAAAACTGTGTACATCAAAAATATGTTTAGAGCCTCGATTTGGTAGAGCATAAATCTGTGTAGAGCCTAAACATTAAACAGTGAACTAAAATATTAAACAGTGAAATAAAATACCTCTTCATCGCAGACCAAAACTTCTTGACTCTTTATCTCTGTAGAGCCTCTATTTTCAGCTATTTCATAACATCTAACACACTTTACTCTTATTGCTTTCTCCCTATCTAGAGGGCCAATATCTTTTACAGCAGCATACATTGGCATGGTTTCTTTGCAGATATTTTGTTTTTTTTTTTTTTTTGTTTTTCTAATTGGCAGGTGATTCGAACTGAAGATATGGTGAAGTTGGGAGTGGATGTCTCCATCGACAGAGGCTTATATACAATGTAAAACTAGATTTCAAAATCTATGATGTTATCTTGGAAGTATGAATGCTGCTGGAGACCTTTCAGTTTCCAAGAGCATGGTGATCAGACATTTACATCATTGAGTCTCTTTAGTATGAGTCTATTTATATTTATTTATTTTAGATTTGAGAAGTATGTTTTTGAAGCAGTGTGATAGTGTTAATACACGTGGTCCTAAAGAGAACCTATCCGACTAAACTCGAGGACCGACCGGGTACGGTTGGGCAGCTCTGGGTCTAGTCTTTCTAATTTCTCCCAAAATCCCTTAACTCAGGTAATTAGAAGGTATTTATAGCTCCACTCCTTATCGGCATGTCGCACGCGTGTCTTCTACGTGTCATCATGCCATCTTGGCCCTTTGTCATCTCTTACTTCCGACACGTGTTGTCCCTTCTTTATTACAAAGGCAAGGCGGTCGGGCTAGTATCAGTCGAGCAACGCGGTCGGGCTAATCGATCGAGCAAGCAGGGCAAGGTTACGGAAAGGACACATGGAGTTCTCGGTCGGAACTTATACTACCACAGTGTTTAATATGAACACTCTCTTTAGAAGTGTGTAATTATTAGAAGTCTATTTAAATTGCTTTATTTTACTTGGTATTACCAAAAAGTAGCTGTCAAAATTAAAGTGCACGCGTTAAGCTTGGTTTAGCACCATTTAGTGTACAACTTTTTTTTTTTTTTTTTTTTTTGTGGACATAAAGTGACATCGTTTTAATTGAGCGGGAGAATTTGTTAAGCAGAAACTTAGAGCTTTATTATAATGATATATTATATTAAGAGTTTGTGTGTGTGTTAAGAGTTTATGTGGATTATGTTAAGAGTTCATGTGTATTCTGCTAAGAGTTTATGTTTATTATGTTAAGAGTTTATGTATATTATTTATTATGTTAGATTATTATATTATGTTAAGAGTTTATGTGTATTATATTATACAATTCTGTACATACGAAACATTTAATTTTTTGAGGGCGCACAATGCATTGTTCGCCTTTGTGCACGATATAACAATTTCCATGTAGGGCTGTTTTTTTTTTTTTTTTTTATTATTTTTTTATTATTTTTAAATTAAGCGGGCTGGCGGGACGGGCTAAAAAGTCCGCTCTAATATGGGCTCAAAAAATTAGAGCCCGCCCCACCCTTTTGGGGCAAATTAAATTGTTGAACCGTGTTTACCTTGCAAGGTGGACATGGTCATGGACGGAGCCAAAGGGGGGGCAGCTGCCCTCCTCACCCCATATATAATAGTTGTATGTATATATGTATATATAGTTTAAATTTTAATATTAGTATAAAAAAACAGATAAATGTTAACAAGAAGTGAATTAATATACGATCTATGCCTACACCGATGCTCAAACCTTAGACCTCCCACATAAGGGAGCAACAGAATACTAGTGGATCACAAGCCACATGGTATATATTTGGTTATAGTGAAGGTCTAGAGTTTGAATCCATTTTTGGTATTATTATAATTTTATAATTTCTCTTGGCTTCAACATAATCACATTGTTAATAGCTTTTTTAATATTTAATAAAACACACAGACACACACACACACACACACACACACACACACACACACACACACACACACACACACACACACACATATATATATATATATATATATATATATATATATAGGGTCCGGATCAGGTGAGGACGTGAGGACTAATCTAGAGCATTAAATCAGAATGATGTATGATTGAGATTAAAAGAAACAAATCACACGGATTAAGAAAACAAATCCCTTTAAAATATTAAAATATATAAATTTAGGGTAAATCAGTCTTATTAAAAGATGTGCATTCCTATACAAAATGTTGTGCATTCCTATACTGAGTGTTGTGCATCAATGACTTCATTGTTGTGCATTCAAACCCCGCCAAAAATCATACAGTGAACATCCAATGTTCTACGATGCATTGAACTATGTGCTATAATGCACAACTCCCTAGCCTATAGTGCACAACTTACAACACTAGGTTGCACAATCAGCACACACGAATGCACAATCGTATTACTCGGGCATTTATACATATACACGACAATCCAAATATAGACAATATTATACTCAAAAGAACAAGCGAAAAAAAATAAAAAATACTGATTAGTTTGCATGGGCAAACACTCAATCAATGATGAAGAAATCGCGGCTCCAAATTGCAACGCTGATGATCCAAGAAAATAGGAAACCAATTTGGCCAAGGATTATACATGCGTTCACACTTAAAAAAAATAGAAAAAGACACTATTATCCCACTTTAACAAAAAAGATCAATCCATGTCATCTCAAGAACTCAAATCTGGACCATCCAAATAAAAAAAAAAACAAACGCACAAGATTAGTCTTCACGTCCTCACCTGATCTGGATTCTATATATATATATATATATATATATAACATTCTTTTATATTAAAAAGGGAAAAATCGCACTTTTGGTCCCTTAATTGTCCCTAGATATGCAATGTAGTCCCTCATTGTCAATTTTGTAAAATTGGTCCCTCAAATGTTTAAATTGTAGGCAATTTGACCCTCCAGTCAAATTTCTCACTAACTAGTGTTAAAATTATGGACAATTTGGTAATTTCACAACAACTAAATTCTAGTGGTGACAGTAGCGCCGCCGGTCCGGCAGTTGACCGGTCGCCGAAATCTGCAAATTTTGGAAATATTCCAGAAATGAATCTGAAGGTGCAAAGGTAGCAAGGGAGGCCCAGATGACAAAAATTTTAAATGAATACACTTCTTCCAAAGAAAAGAAAAAGAAAACAATATTTAAAAAGAAAGAGAACCAGATCATAGTTAATTCCCACTGCTGCGTCGAATGGAGACTGTTGTCGCTGCCGACGAATAGATTCCGCCACAAACCAGAATCGTTGCCGCCGACTAAAATTGCGATGCTGGAAATTAATTTGCTTCACCACCAGACTTTGTCGCCGAAGGCAAGAACCCAGACACGCACAATTATAGAACAAGTGCTCATTGTAGCCAAAGTAGAAAAAGAAGGCCTGAAATACTAGATTTCAATTAGAGGTAAAGAACCTATATGCTGCACATTCAATTTTATCAAAATTTAAGGAAATCCATAATTCAAAAGTAACTTAGCAAATCTTCACAAGAGAACTAGGAATCAGCAGCAAGGTTTTTGGGAGAAAATTTTTTGGGCCATTTCGTTCCAAATTTGTCAGATGTCCTCGATTATCAGGAGAGAAAATGAAGATCTTGAACAATAGAAAAATTTGAAGAAGGCCTCCATCTATTAACCTTACTCCTACAATGTGCTAAAGTCGTCGTCGCCGACAACTTAGACGAAGCAAATAGAATGCTCCTCCAAGTCTCCGAGCTCTCAACCCCATACGGGACCTCCGCACAGCGAGTCGCCGCATACTTCTCGAAAGCCATGTCCGCTCGCCTCGTAAAATCATGCTTAGGAATCTACACGTCGGCACCGCTCAACGCCCTCCCTCGCAGCCTAAATCATAAAATGGCATCCGCCTTCCAGGTCTTCAACGTCACCGGCTCCTCTTAGCAACAGTAGGATCAAGGATTTGGTGGTAAAGAAATTTAATCCCAGATAAAAGCTAGGGCTGAAATGAATTAGGGGTAAATGGCGTGGGATGAGAATGGGGTAACTAAGGACATTGCGAAATTACCAAATTGTGCATGGTATTAACTCTTGTTTGAGAGAAATTTGACTAGAGGGTCAAATTGACTACGGTTTAAACATTTGAGGGACTAATTTTACAAAATTGACAATGAGGGACTACGTTGCATATCTAGAAACAACCGAGGGACCAAAAGTGCGATTTTCCCTATTAAAAATGAGTTGTGTAATTTATAATGTGGTCAATATTCAAATTGTTTTATCAAATTAATTATGCTTCATATTTTGTTATGAATATTTTTAATAAAATTTCTATGTGTTTTATTTTTCGCTCATATCCAACAATATTTATACTTATATTTCTTGGATAATTTATTATTTTTTTTAAATTATCTCTTTTGTTTTAATGTTTCACCTTCAGTTGAAAAAATTGATGGATTTGTTCCTGCTTCTTCGCCCCCTCTCAACAAAATTCCTGGCTCCGTCCCTGGACATGGTTTCAAAATTGTTCATAATTATGAATATAGAGTTCAAAACTTATGAACATAGAGTTCTATAATTATGAATATAGAGTTCTGTAATTGTGAATATAGAGTTCAATAATTGTGAATATGAGTTCAAAAATTATGAACAAAGAGTTTTATAATTATGAACATAGAGTTGAGTAATTATGAACATAGAGTTCTGTAATTGTGAATTTAGAGTTCAATAATTGTGAATATAAAATTAAAAAATTATGAACATATCTACAATTCCAATACGAGTCAATAATGTTAGGCCCTTAACTAGAACAAAAAAACGTCGGTACTATTGTTTCTTAAAATGGATGGTTCATATTATTTTGATTTTAGTATTTTTAATGATTTTTCTTATTTACCCTCTATGATATTATTTTCTTCCCTTAAATAACCTAAATTAAATTCCGTTAGTATAAACTTTAATAACGGAATATTTCATTAACTATTTATTATTTTTAACTTACTCATAAATTTATATAAGAAACGTCTTAAGTTCGAACCACATCACAATTAGAGTTGAAATAATTGTTAAGCATATACTACGAATATGTTAAAATGTATTAAAAATATATATAATATAAAATCTAATATAAACTTTGGTCAAATAATTAGTCCGACAAAATACATAAAATTTAAAGTTAAGCATCAAAGATTATAAATCAAGAACTTTAAAAATCATTTAATTTTTATGCATTTAAAAAAAAACAAATTTAGGTTAAGTTTTTTTTT